AGTGAGATGGACAGCTAATTTTATCTGATAAGGTGGTTTGTGTTCTCCCAACAAGAAGCTTTGTCCTGATATTTTTTTTTTTTTTTTTTTTTCCTATTTCTGTATTTGTTTCAGGTTAAAAAAAAAGAGTCTCCTTTCCATTTCTCTTTTGTCCCTCCCTCCTTGTATCTATGTGATTCCCTTTTCCATCTCAGTGCGGAATAAGCAGCTCTGGGATCTACTTTGGTTACTAGTGATTATTACAAGACTGTTGACATTGTCATGTCAAGCAAAATGCTTTTTTCTGAATGGGTTACATATTCAAAAGATGGCAAGTGCTAACCTCTGGTTTCGATTCAGCCTAGTTTGTAGAGGCACCTTGTTGATTTTGTGTGTGTGTGTGTGTGTGTGTGTGTGTGTGTGTAAACATAAGTTATTTTGAATTAGAATTGGGGACAGTTGGTAAATTGGGGTAGCTCCAGTGATTTCTGTGAAGCTATGATAACTTATCGGGACTGAGCCGGCCTGTTTTCATCTGCTAGAACTGCAGTATGCCAAGCAACACTTTCCATCAGAGGTCCTGATGTCAAACTTGTGTATAAATTTAGTGAATAATAGCTTTTATACATTTCCTTTATTGTTCTGCAGTTCCCATCCAAACATCTCTTGTTTCCTTGGCAGCTGCACTAAGCTAGTGTGGATAGAAAGACCAGTAGCATTCTCCATGGCTGTGGGCCCCTTTCTGTGCATTCCTTATTAGCAGGGATCCTGGTTTTCTCTCATTTAAAAATTGCAAATTCTCTGATTTTTAACCCCAAATCTGTGATTAAAAATTAAAGGCCCCCAACAGCACCCCCCAGCACTGCTGGTGCACCGCACTCCACCCCCACAGCCTCAGCAGCCCTCCTGATGCCCCTCACAACAGCCCCCCAGACCCACAGGCACAGACATGCACGCAGACAACCATCCCAGCAGGTAAGTGTGTGTGGGGGGAAGGGACGAGGTAGGGCAGGGGAAAGGGAAGATGCTGAGGGGGTAGATCAGGCAGCGGGGGGAGTGTGCCCCTGTGCCCATTCCCAGGAGCAGGTCCAGGGGGTTAGGGCAGGGATGCCACTCTGTGGGCAACATGTGCCAGCTGGCCTGATGGGGGTGGCTCACGGAGGCCACCACCGCAACTCTGCCACTGCACCATGCACTATCATCCCATGGCCACCCACATGGCTTTGTGGTCAAGTGGTGCAGAGTGCAGCAGTGGCAGTGTGGTGGCAACCACTGTGTGTGGGTCACATATGTGCCATCTGGCTGGGGGGTGGAAAGGGGGACTTGCATGCAGTGGCCGCCACTACACCGCTGCTTGTGCCCTGGAACTGGCTGCACGGGTCCGCGGCAGTGCGGGGTGGTGGTGGCTGCATGCTGGCTGCAGGGGCGGGGGGAGGGTGTGTGGGCAAGTGCTGCCACTGCGGAGCCATGCCTTTTGCCTGTGGATCCTAGAGGTAAGTCGGGCTTGGAGGCTGTGGAGCAGAGCTAGGGAAGCTGGCTGGGGGCTAAGGGAACGGGGGGGGCAGTGCTGCTGGCCCCAGGTGGCACACAGCAGCCCGGTGCAGGGCTGAGTACAGGGGTGCACATGCTGCCCGACCGGCTACCCAGGGGAGGGTGGGGCTGACATACAGCTAGCTGCACAGCTCCATGGCTGGCTGTGCAGCAGTGGTGAGGGATAGTGGCGAGGGGGTGGCTTGCACATGGTAACCACTGCTGCTTACACGTGGGGCCATGCCAGCGGAGATGGCCTCTGTGTACAAAACTTCCCTGCACCACAGCTGCTGCTGCAGAGCCATGCTCAGAGCTATGCGGTCAGCCGCAGGGCGGCAGTGGCAGCGTGGTGGTGGCCGGGCTGCACACAGCCATCCCCACCACCATCCTGCACTGTGCCATGGCCATGGCCACCACCCGCTGCTGTGGCTGCCGTGCTGCTAGCCACACGGCTCTGCAGCAGCGCAGGGAGGCTTTGTATGTAGCAGCCCTCGCCACTGGCATGGCCCCATAGATAAGCAGCAGCAGCTGCTGTGCGCCAGCGGTGAGGGCCGCTGCGTACAAAATCTCCCCACGCTGCCACGGAGCTGTGCTTGGAGCTGTGCGGCCGAGCGCAGGGGGCAGCGGCAGTGTGGTGGTGACGCAGCATGGTTGTGGGGATGGCTGCGTGCCGCCTGGCCACCACCACACTGCTGCTGACCCTGGCCACACAGCTCTGCGGCGGCATGGGGAGGTTTTGTACACAGCAGCTGTCTCTGCTGGCATGGCCCCGCAGGTAAGCGGCAGCGGCCACTGCATGTGAGCCCCCCCATCCCCTATCCCTCGCTGCTGCTGCAGAGCCAGCCACAGAGCTTGGCAGTGGGCTGCATGCCAGTCTCCTCTGCCCCTGGGCAGCTGTCCAGGAGGCATGCACGCCCCACATCACTTACCCGTAAAGCCGCAGAGGGGCACCCCTGCCCTCATCCCCCGGCCCTGCACCAGGCTGCGGTGTGCCACCCGAGGCTGCAGCACTCCCCCACTCCCTCAGCTCCCAGCCCTGCCCCACAGCCCCCAAGCCCCACTTGCCTCTAGGGAGGAAGGGCAAGTCTGGGCAGGGCTGGGGATTTCCCACCCTTTCTACAATCAGCTCTTACAGGCTTGTTCCAAGCCTGCAAGAGCTCTTTGCAAAAGGGGAGAATCCACGGATTTCTCTCCTAAAATGGGAAATCTGCGTTTTCTCCGATTTTTAAAAACAGGGAATCCGTAGTTTTCTCCATTTTTTCTGTGGGAAATGGAAAACTTGGATCCCTGCTTACTAGGTTTTATGGGAGAGCTCTCTTTCCCCTCTGGATTGCAGTCTTCCTGTCATCTCCTTGTCCAGCTGCAAACTGTTCATATTGCTACTGCATGATAGTTCAGTTCAGTAACCTTTGCTGACATGGCAAGGTATTTAAGTCTTTCCAGAGTCAGAATACATCAAGGATCTGATTCACACAGGGCTCCACGGTAATAAAGCAGTTGGTCCCTGGTTTCAGTTTATCATAATGGTCCAATTCAGATTCATTGGCAGCTAACCACTGTTTCCCAAATCTATAGACCCAGTGAGCCAACAGTCCCATGGTTCATCTTGAATCCCTTGCTTATCTTACTGAGCTTAATTTAGCCATTAAGCTGGTGCAGTCTCTATTGATTACTGCTACAATTGAATGGTTTATGATTTACTTTAATTTATTATTTAGAATGTTGATCAAAGGACCCACCTCTTGGAATTGTAAAGTGAAGCCTTAAAATCTTGTTTAAGAGCACAAATATTTTGGGCTATGACAGATGTGCTTTGAAAATAACACAGATGTGCAGTGTCAAATTACACTGCTCATGCAGTGTCTTTGTTTCAAATTGCAAATGTACCTTGTAGTGTTGGGCATGTGCTTTCAGAAAACCTTGCTGCTTGTAACACAAGAAAAACAAGTTTTTTCTGACTTTGCCCCTTTGAGAATTTGAAAGGAAAATGATCTCAACACAGTGAGCATTCAACCCTGCAAGACTGCAAATCTATGCGTTATTTTTAACCTAATTACACCAAATTAACGAAAAGCTTAAGACTTTTTGCCTGAATTGAAACTGAGGTTAAATAGACTTTATTTTCAGTGAAACTTCAACCAAAGATATACTTGTTACATTGTGCCATTTAGAATAGTGCCTATGGCACCGATGTTATATTAAAGAACGGTGCTTGATTTTCTAAAGCACTGGTTTTTATGAGTTGATGTGAGAGCATATACAACTATAGAACAGTTCATTCCTTTTTCTTCCTCACCACTCCCACAGTTACGGTGATCATTTTGGATTGGTGACTATTTAGATGGAACTTAGTTTTCTTATACTTGCTTAACAGTGGCTCATTAACTGCATGTTAATTGAAACTGAAAGTTTGTCAGATGATTCAATTCAGTTACGTGTTAAATGGATTCAGTGAAGTAAGCATTACTGCTGTGATGAAAATCTCTCTGGAATTGATTGTGAACTGATTTGGAGTGATTCAAAGACTTTATCAGTAGCTCTTAAAGATAAGTGTTTTGAGAACTGTTGGAGTTGGGAATGTTCTAAGTAAAACAAATGCTGTTTCTCTCACCACCTTTCCCTCTGAACAGCCATAAAATGTACACAGTTTTATTCTGCTCCATTTCTGAAGTTTTTGGTAGATAAAACATCCTTCAAGTTACAAGTTTGAGAACGGGGGGCAGAAAAAAAGAAAATACAAAAAATTTAAAGTCCAGTTTTAGTTGTGCATTTTCAGTATGTGAAAATGTTCAGATCTTTCCCTACAGCAAATCTGCTAGTTGTAAGGTTATATGAAATTTTGTTAAAATAAAATGTGCCAAGTTCTAAAATAAAAACAGACAGGTAAATCAGGAATACTGAGTTACAGAATTTAGGCTGTATAATTCATCCTGTTATACTTGGGCATTGCAAAGGTCTCTGTTAAGTGAACAATTTACTGTATACACTGTACGTGCTGTAAGAGCTTGTATGTTAGGTTTCAGTGTTGAACCAATTTTTATCGGTGTTATAAACCCTTTGAAAATAGTAGCTTGTAATGGAAACACTGACAGACCTTTTAACTAGTATATTCTTATCTGGCTCCATTATCTTTGTTTTGGTTAAAGTATTAAATAGCTGCATATTTGTTTATCTCTCTCTCACTCAGAATTTTAACAAGTGTGGATTATTGAACTGCTCTTTCTTTAAAATGTCATGAACATGCAGCATCAGATAGTTTGTCCAAATTTCACAGTGATGTTTTCAAAGTAAATTGAACTCAGCATCTTATTGCCATGATTTTCCTACTTATACAACGCATTTAATCTGTTGTATGTCATTATGATGCTAATAATGGAAAAACTTTCCAAAGTTTGCTTCCCTTCTCTTATTTTAAAGTCAAATTTTGATGTTTTGGTATGTCCTTCTTTTAACATAGAATGATAATTTGGTTTTTCATTTGTCTAATTCAGGTGGAAAGCCGTACCACTGCAGCCTTTCTCAAGGAGAAACTCCGATGGTGACATCTCAGGTGGATGAGCTTCCTAAACTTGGAAGCAACAATGCCAGAGAAAGTGATGCCAATGAATCTAAAGCAGAGATACCAGCTTTGATATCTGCACTGGAAAAAGAGGTCAAAGAGCCCTTTCCAGAATACGAAGATCAGAGATGTTCTCCAGGCTTAAAGATGCCAGCATTTCGACAAAGCCAAGAGCCTCCTTGCTCCAGCAGCATTGCTGACCTTCCTTCCGGCAGGGGCCAGACACCTTCAGACATGGTAATAGACTTGAAAACCTCAGTGGAAATGCAGGCTAGTCACTCTAAAGAAAACTTGCCACGTAGAGAGCACCCCTTGGTAGAAAAAGGTGGAGAGGCCCAAGAAATGGTTCTGCTAGATTTGAGTGAGAAATCAACAAGGGATGATTTATGCAATAAGGGTTTTACCTCATCATTGCAGGCTGCTTTGATTGTCCATCCATGTCCTTTCTGCAGTCACAAGACCTATTACCCTGAAGTCCTGTGGATGCACAAAAGAATTTTGCACAAAGTCAGCTGTAACTCAATGGTTCCTCCATGGGTTCAACAAAATGGATTCAAGAGTATTAAGAACAACATGGTTTTCCTAGCAAGAAATGGACGCACTGGCCCTCCTCCTGTCCTTGGGGGTAAAGAATGCCACCCTTTGCCCATTGCCAGATTTACACGCACTCAAGTGCCAAGTGCGTTGCCAGGATCCAAAAGCAATTCTTTCCCAATTGGGATGTCTACTAAGCCTGGGAATATGCACCAGTCTAAGGACAGCCATTCATTTGGCCACTGTGGTCCACGGTCATCAGGTCTCGATGGGTACAGGCCGGCCAAACTGAACAATACCCAAGAGCAGTACAGCATAGCAGCACAACAGTCTCAGTTAAAGAATAAATATGACATAAACTCCAAACTTATGCAAGCAGGAAGCTTTAACAGAGGCCTAACGCCTACCCAAACAGTCATAACTAGGCCCAACACCCAGCCTGCAAACAGTAAACAAGTGGAAAAGTATGTGGTTCCCCAAGGAAATGCTGGTTTTACTCCTTCAGGTAAGCACTGTGCATCTGACTCCTTGAAGGCCAAATTCAACCCCCCATCTCAGTATCACCCTCTGTGTAAAACTGAGCAGTACAGTAAACATGAAGAGCCATCAGTGCCTCAGCAGGAATCTCATACAAAGGCTGGAAATGAGATGAGGACATTGGCAAACTGCACAATAGGAGCAAGAGCAAGTCCACTAATGCACCCTCAGCTTAGTGCAGCAGGAGCTTCTCCAGGTTTACACTCCAACAAACAAGAACCAGCATCAGATGATCATGAAAAACGTTTGGACATTTTAAATATCTTTAAGACATACATTCCAAAGGACCTTGCTTCATTGTACCAGACCTGGGGTGCCAACAGCCCCGCACTGGATCATGCAGGTAAGGCTGTTAAACGTTTATCCATAGCTGCTGATCTTTCTTTTGTTTTATTATGATCTATCCTATTGTTTTACTGTTTCTTCCTTCACTTATCTTTTAGTTCCTGGGTAGGTATCAAATAATTTGCTTATTTTCTGTAGTATTATAGACTTCCCTCTCCCATACTGTGCGACATTTCTATCACAGGTCAAATGCGTTTGGTTCTCTCTCTTAAGAGTATTACCATTGCTTTATCCCATTGCTTGAAGCAGGCCAGGGTTACACAGATGTTCTGTTGCACTTAAGAACCTGGTGATATGCTGGTTCTGGCACACATTATAACTTTTTCATGTTGGGCAAAATAAACATCCTCTAGGGCTTATTCCTGATGATGTTAGTTAAGAGATTTGTTCAATTTTCTCAGCACAGAATTTTTCCAGGAACAGACAGCGATAATCACACATCAGTGTTCTTTGTCTTTCTAAACAAAGAATCCTAAGACCTTCCTTGTCTATATCTTTCAAAAGAAGAAAGTAGTATTTTCCAAGTGACTCTCTTGGTCTATTTTTGTGCTTAATTTTACAGAGATGTATCTGTCAGATCATGTGGAGATGAAAAGCAAGCCTGTAAAGAGTCGATTAAAAGTTCAGAGGCTAGTTTCTTCTAAAGTAATTTTACAGACAGGATTCAAAAAAGTAGAATGAATCTCTCTCACCTCTCACTACCACCCCTTATGAAATCCTGTTGAGTTTTAAAATTAACTGCCACCCTGTATTTCTCCAACTTCCAGCCAGATGTTTCTTGTGCTAATGAAAATTAAGGAGTAACCCTAGTTTCTTACTGTTTTGGGAGAGCGGAGTGTGGACAAAACAACCTTGTCTCCCTCTTCCCTCCCCACACAAAAGAAAGGAAAAGAAAAAATATCCCATAACCCTAGATTATAATTTTTTTGGTAAACCTTAAGATTTTATTCTACACTCTTCTTTCAGAAGGAACAGTATAGCATAAATCTTTTTTGCAATTAATTTCACATAAACAGAACCTCTTTTGTCACATCTTTACTCTAGAAACTCAGGATTTTCACTCCTGCAGCTGAAAGCTGCTAAGGCATCATCTAATAAGGGAGGAGGTGGTGTGAAGCTTTCTGTTTTTATTAAATGGAGGGTAAGCAAGAGTTAGTGTTCAGATTTTTATAAATAAAAAACCAGGATGGCTTTAACTAGGGAAGAGTAGAATATAAGGGCAAGTTTGCTGGAGTGCTTGCATATACATGAACATTTTGGCAGTTAGAGGGTGAGAAGGGACAGAGAATTCATACTGGTTGGTCAGGGTTTTTCTAGGAGGTCTTTTGGGGAGGGCAGGATGGCAGCATATGGCAGGTCTGCTGAGGAAATAGCCTGTGAGGTGCACATCTTAGCCAGCCTGTTGTCAGTTTTGCTCGATCAGTTGATTAATGATACTGAC